AGATCTGTGTTGCCATGCCTGGCTCTCTATTCTCATTTAACAAATGGATAACTATAAAGGGATAGTGTAGCTTGCTCACATGTCTAGAACCCCAGGTTAACAAACTCATACAAAAGGACCTTATTGAGTTTGCCATTTTCTCATTGGTCAAAGCCTGGTCATATTGAGATTCAAAATCTAGAAACTCTTCTTAACTTGGTTGGGGGTATGGATCAAATCCAGAGACCTTGTTTATGGCAGGCAGGTGCTCCACTGAGCTGTGTCTCTAGTCCATCCCTACTTCTTGATAGGAAAAGCCAGTTACATTGTATGTTTGTAGATAGCTACAGGGAAATTGTTTGCAACATTGATCATGGCAAAAATGTTATGGCTGAATTTAGTGGAACTGAGAAGCTGTATTGGATTAGTATGAGAAGTAGTCTAGACACGTGTGATTTATTTTTCCTTCTGTGAATACTTGCCTGCCTTCCATCCAAGAATAGCATTTGAATACTGAAAAGATGCAGTAGACATGGTACGGCAGGTGGTAGAGAGATAGAGCATTAGTGAAGCGAAGGTCCCTGAAAGCGCAGATCCTGAGATCCTGTGCGCCACAGTGGGGTAGCTTTTATGTGAAGAACAGAAGATGTGTATATTTAGATATTTAAGTTGATGATGAGAGGCTGAGGGATGATTCTGTTTGAGTTTCCATATCTTCAATGAAACCAAGAGAAGAGGTGCCTGAGATTTTATAGTAGAGAAGTTCAGTCGTTTTATTGTAACTAGACATTGAGTTGAATACTGAGTAGAGAAATGAAAGGATGTCAATAAATGAGAAATGTTACCCTGTTTATATAAAACATACTACTTGTAAAGAGATTTTACTGGAATACTTATTGCGTTGCCAAGTAGAGACTGGTTTTAGTTGAGATATTCCATGCTGGGACTTTATGTTTGAGCTAGTTAAACTTTACTGTTTGTTTGTTTGTTTGTTTGTTTGTTGTTTGTTTGTTTTTGAGACTGAGTCTTACTATGTAGTCTTGGGTGTTCTGGAACTCACTATGTAGACTGACGAGATACGACATCTGCTTTTTGTTTTTTTTTAATATTAACAAAACATGAACTCAAAAATTGCTGTTTTCTAAAAACTTTCTAAAAGAACTATTGAAACGGCAGTCACTTTTCAGTGTCTTCAGATTCCTTCCAGAATCCCTCTTGGATTCCAGAATCTGCAGATGTTCAAGTCCCATACATAAAGTGAGTAAATATGTGTACGTAGACTACCTACATTTTCTTTCACACGTGGTATCATCTCTAGATGACTTGTGCTTCCTAATATAATGTATGCACTAAGTAAAGAGTTGTTAAGCTTTATTGCTTTGAGAATAATGGTTAAGTCTGCACACTGAGCACAGAAGTAAAAGGGAACATTCTTGCTCTCTATTTAATTGAGCCACCAATGTGCACCAATACAGAGGGAACGACTGTACTTTATTAGTACACACAAGAATCATTGAATGAACATATTTGCAATTAATAGAATTAATTAATTAAAACCAAATGACAGGGTAGTGGCGATTTTCTCTCTTCACTAGACACGACATTGCACATACTACTGACCTGAGAAAACGCTGCCACTAGAAGTATTAAGGACTTTGACAGTGCCTGTGCTGTTTGAATCTGATGCTCAGTTATTGTACACTGTCGAAGCAGCCTTTAGTTTTAACAGTTGGAATATAAATAAATGTTCCTGTAAGGTTATGTATTTGACTCAGAATAATATTTGGGTTTTTTTTTCAGTTGGAAATTTTCTAGATTTTTTTCATTGTCCTTGACAAGAATAAGCCTAATTTCTCAATTTGTTTAATTGCTGTATGGATTGTCTTTAATGAGTGTGCCACCTGCTGGTTCTCAGAAGACTGCAGTTTGGAGTCTTTCCAACTCTATAGCTGTCCTGTTTTTGCCTTAAACCTGGAGTGAAATCCCAGAAGAGAAAACAGCTCTTTATAAATATGACCATGTAGGCATTCTAGTAGTAGCTTTGTTTTGACAAGTGACAGTAAACTTGATGAAACATTCTGAATTATTAAGAAAAATCATGAGAATGTCAAGATTCATTTCTAACTAGATCATCTGGAAAAAAAAATGCACTGTAGTCTTGCTCTTGATTTCCCTCAGTGCTATTTTTCTGTTTGATCCAATGAAAAGATCTATATATCTTTTGAGTCAAGAATTAATGGCTAAATTGATTTTTTTCTCTTCTTAGGACTATTAGTGTGACTTAGTATGCATGTGTCATTTAGATAGTAGAGTGCTCAGCCCTAAGTGGAATGTACCTATCCCACTTCTGCCCTTAAGGCTCAGGGATCTTTAAGGAAGAGGGGACAGAAAGATTTCAGGAGCCACCGGTAATGGATAACTTTAAGAAAACTGTTGTTTTGGACACCAAGGAAACATTTGCAGAACTCACAGTGATTGAGATGGGCATGGAGTTCCACCCTAGCTGAGGGGCCAGTGGAGCTTTATGGCTACTGGAGAGAAGAGAGTCAACTTGCTTAATGGTGTTACCCTACCTAGTAGGTCACTGTCAAGAGTTGTTGGCCAGCACATATTGGACGCCATGAGTTAATTGGAAGGAAGGAAGGAAGGAAGGAAGGAAGGAAGGAAGGAAGGAAGGAAGGAAGGAAGGAAGGAAGGAGAAGAAAAGAAAAGAAACAAACTTTAAGATGGATAGACTAGGAGGTGAAAGGGAAGGAGGTGGACATGACCAAAATACATTGTATGATATTCAAGAAGTATTAATAAAAATACCTTTTAAAGATAAATGCACATTTCTTTTTTAAGATTTATTTATTTATTATATATGAGTACACTGTAGCTGTCTTCAGACACACCAGAAGAGGGCATCAGATCTCATTACAGATGGTTGTGAGCCACCATGTGGTTGCTGGGATTTGAACTCAGGACCTCTGGAAGTGCAGTCAGTGCTCTTAACCACTGAGCCATCTCTCTGGCCCACACATTTCTTTCATTTCTGTTTTTGGTCTGAGGTGTTGAGGCAGGATTTTATTATATAGCCCTGGCTGTCCTGGAGTTTATAGACTAGACTAGCCTAGGACTCAGAGATCCTCCTGTCTCTGCTTCTCAAGTGGTAGAATTAAAGGTGTTTGCTACCTCAACTGGCTTTAAAAAATAAAGTCATGTTTATTTTAAACAACTGTTTGAGTTTTTCAAAGATGATAATATTTAAATTATGTCTTTATATCTTTTTAAAATTGCACTCTTAACTCAGTGGTTAAAGAGTATTGGCTCTCACTGGACAACAACAGGGGGACCAGAGCCGTTACAAGGTCCCCTTCAATTACTGGAGGTCAGACCTCTATTCCCGCCTTCGCAAGATTAGAATCACCACAGCCCTTCTATACTTAGAGAAGGGAGGAGATGTCAGGGACATCCCTGATTACACACTGAAGGCCTAAAATCAGCCATAGGCCTAAAATCAGCAATAGGCCTGTCATACATGTATACTAACACCAAGTCTTGGGTTTCTGTGGAAAAACATTGAAACAGATGGCTATAAGCTATTGTAAACAGGCAGCTTTCGTGGAAATTTACCAGTCTGAGTAGTCATAGACCTTGTAAATAGGTAGCCTTGGCAGATAATACCAACTTAGATAAGGACAAATGAATCATAGGCAGAGTCATAGTGACCTGTCCCCTGAACCTTCACCCAGCCGATACCCTGTTCTGAAAGATATCTGTATTCCCCCTGAACACCCACACTCCAGTGTCATCCCCTTCCCCACATCCTGCCTTTCTGTGTTTATAACCCCTGTGTGAATGAATTACTATTTTAAAATAAAAACAAACAAACAAACAAACAAAAAAAAAGAGTATTGGCTGCTCTTGCACAAGACCTGTGTTCTATCAGAACATTTCTTATACTAGAAACAAATTGTAAATGCAACAACAGACATAAACATTTTAAATTTAAGTGCTTTCTGAAAGTTTCAAATCACCCACTGAAAATAGGGGATCTTAGGTTGTCATCATTGCTCTATAAATAGATGATAAATTCAGTTAACAACTTTAGACTTACTTATTTTTATTTTATGTGTATGGGTGTTTTACCTGTATGCAGGTATATGCATCACATGGGCAGTGCCCACAGATATCAGAAGAGGGCATCAGATCACCTGGAACTGGAGTTACAGGTACTTGTGAGCCACTACGTAGTGTTAGGAGCGGAACCCAGGTCCTCTGCAAGAGCAACCAGTGTTTTTAACCACTGTGCTATGTTTCTAGCGCAATTAAAAAGCGCTGTGTATGAGTGTTTTACCTGCACATATATATGTGCACCACATGCATGCAGTGCTTAAGGAAGGACGCTTGAAGAGAGCATCGCATCCCCTGGGACTGGAGTTACTGATGGTTGTGAGCCACCATGTGGGTGAAGAGAATACAACCCAGCAAGAGCACCAAGTGCTATTAACTACTGAGCCAACTCTTCCAACCCACAAAAAAGTTTGTATTTTTTTAAGTTTAGTTTTTACTATTTTATTCAACTTTTGGAGTCTCAGTATATACCCTAGACTGGTCCTGAGCCCTGATCCTCCTTTCTCTACTTCCCAAGTACTGGGATCATAAGCATGTACCATCATACACAGTTAAAATCTTTATTTTGAAATAGAGAAGGAAGTTAATAAATTAGTACATTGTTCCCTAGTATGTATTGTATATAAAATAGATTCTAATAAGGTTCATTTTTATATAAATTATTTTTAAAGCAGTTACTTTTCTTCTTTCTTTATGTATGTGAGGTGAATAGTTGAGGTTCTCTTGGGATGAGACCTGGCAAATCCCCTTGGGTCTGTCAGTCCGGAAGGTGCATTTCTGTCTCAGTTTTTTTTCCTTCATTTCCTACACTCACTCACCTGCCTTGCTTCCTTTCTGCTTCCTTCCCACTTTTTATTTACCTGTGATTAGATTTTGTCTTCCAAAAGCATTTTTTAAAATATCCAGTGCTCATGTTGACAGCACATATACTAAAATTGGGATGATACAGAAAAGATTAGCATGGCCCTGTGCAGAGATGACAAGCAAATTCATGACACATTTCATATTTGTAAATAAATAGATCGAAAAGAAATATCATCCAACCAAGTTCAAGGAAGTGTTTGCTGGGGTCATTTGTGTGTCTTCACTAAAGTGCTTGCCACTGTGTGTCAGCCTCTGTCTTCAGACAGCCGTCACGACCCCAGGCGTTTGTATCTGTTATGCTCCTCGGCTCGCTCTGCATTTCTCCCCCATCGATATATTTATTTCCTCAAGGTTCAGTCTTGGAATCTCAACTTAGTTTACACCCTTCTCCTCTTCTTCTTTTGAGACAGTCTTATCTTGGCTGACCTGGAGTTTGCTGCATAGACAAGGCTGTTGACCCTGACCTTGTGACAATCCTACTCTGTCTGTAACCTGAGTGCTAATGTTATGGATGTGTGCCACCATGCTGGAGTTCACATACATGGCCTGTCCTCCCTCCGTCCCTTCTTCCTTCTCTCCCTCATCTGTCTTTCCTCTTTTCCTTCTTGTGTGCAGGAGTGTCTGTGTTTATGCAGATGTGTTTGGATTGTTAGTGTGTGTTCAGGAACCTGTGGAGGTCAGCTGTAGATACTGTTTTTTAGGAGCCCATCTTTCTTGCTTTTTAGGCAGTGAATCTCAGGGATCTTTTCATTCCCTGGTTCTATAGGATTGATTACAAGTGTGTACCACCACATTTGACTTTTTATTTTTTAATTAATTAATTAATTAATTTAAAACTTTTTATTGGTTCTTTGTGAATTTCACTTCATGTACACCAATCCTATTCATATTCCCTTCCCCTCATACCCTCCCTTTACCTTTACAACCTGCCCCCAACAGAAAAATAATTTGTTGTAGAAATGGTAGCGTGTCAGTGTGTCCCCATTTCTTTGCTCGCACGTGTTCATTGCAATGATTCCTGGGTCTGGTACAAGGCCTCTGGCTTCTGCTACTTTATCAGTACTGGAACTTCACTGGGACTCCTCTCATATCCTTTTGTAGTCCTGGGTCATGGAGATCCTGTAGTTTTGCATCTGTAGGACCAGCCCCTTCAAGATAGAGTAGATGTTGGAGTATGCCAATTTAAAGGCCTGAATCTGGACCTGGGGTGAGAGGCAGGACCCTCAGGCTAGCTCACCTGCAACCTCTACATCCAGGGCCAGCTCTACTGTGCTGCTCAGGTGAGGTACAGGGCCAGCTCTCCTGCTTTTATGATGCTCTCCCACCTGCCATAGGTGGCAAAGGGTGAGGGTGGGGGAGGGCATCTCTTATTACCCATACTGCCACATGACAGACAAGTTAGGGGCAGCTCTTCCATACTCACATGCTTGGGGTTGGCTCACCCTGCCATCAGGGTCAGCTCTACTGTGTTTCTCAGGAGAGGTGTAGTGCTGCTCTCCTGAGTGCTGTAGCAGGTGAAGGTCAGGGCCAGCTCTCCTATTCTCATGACCCTGCCTGGGTCAGCTCTTCTGTTTGTTGTTTGTTGGAGAGGGCAAAAGGGAAGGGAGGAGATCTCTCCCTTGATGATGTGACCACACAGCAGACAAGCCTGTTTTCCCATACTCATGCCCTCAGGGCCAGCTTTCCAGGGTCAGCTCTACTCTGCGGCTCTGGTGAGGGGCAGGGCCAGCTCTCCTGCTTTGATGACCTTGGGGCCAGCTTCCCTGCCTGCCGTAAGAGGCAAGGGGTAAAGAGTTGCATCTCTTCCTCACCCATGTCACCACACAGTACTAGAGGGTTAGGTTAGCTCTCCTACTCTCATGCCTCCAGGGCCAGCTACCCCTCAATGTCCAGGTGAGCGGTGACACCAATTCTGCACAGCCCTCAGACATGTCATATCTTCCAACATGTCCTCGAGTGGCAGCCCAGACCAAGGGTATATGCCTGGCCTTTAGTGGTAACAGACCCCTACTGCTGCAGGGCCACAGACCCCTGGTGGCAGAACAGGCCAGGAGCCACCATGGTCCCAGGTAACATCACTTCCTCACTACCCTAGAGTCTCCAGTTCTACCTCTCTTCATTGTGCCCACATCATTCTGTTCTCTTCCATTTCTCTACCGCCACTTACTTGCTCCTCTTAGTAGTGTCCAGGGTCTCTGAGTGGTCTTAGGGGTGCTATGCCCCACCCAAGTGGCCTATTGCAAGGGTCGTCTGTCTCAGGCTTACTCCTGCCCAGGCCTGAAGTCCCAGGGAGGATTCTTTTAGTCTCTGGCTTGCTCCCTGTCTTGGGAGCTCACCAAGGCCCCCAGGCATCAGATTGGTGGTCATCTCAAGTTCACTTTTTTCAGGGAATATTAGGTTCTAATCATTCAGATGTTCATAGGTCAGAAGACTGAGTGTAGACACAGCCCCTCTTCTCTCTGCCACCTACTGACCCATATGTGACTGACTCTCTCTCTCTCTCTCTCTCTCTCTCTCTCTCTCTCTCTCTCTCTC